CGCGCGCCCGCCATGTTGCTCCAGTCATGGTCGGGCCTTGTTATGTACGTTATTTGTCCAGACTCTCTAGTCAACGGTTCTGTATTCCGCGTGTAAATATTATTGTAGGTATTTAAAGAGTATCTAAGGTAATGTAACAGAGTAACGGTCGCACAACGCTCGGCCCCGCCGCCTCCACCTCCACCTCCACCTCCTACCTTGTACCTTATTTATTATGTGATTTAAATTGTGAATCGAAAAGCGTTTTTATTGTGAGCCGAACGAACGATGTATGTAATAATTTTATATGTAATGTATGATATTAATAAATAAATTGGCTTTATGTTAAAGTTGTAAAAACAAATCATGTGATATATATTTGGAAACCGCTAGTCAGCAACTTACGGCGCGAACACGCTTCTACTCACCAATAAATATTTTTAATTTTTATACTTGTTTTATTTGTCTTTTGTCCGAAATGTCGCGACACGTCGAGTGCGCCCTCGCCCCGCAGCTTTACCGCTGTGTGCTCCTCCATCACCCTGTCATGAGGAGCTCGCCATAAGCTGGACGTAGGCCTCCAGTGATCGCCTCATTAGGCTCCATTCAGGCTTTTCGAGTTGTTACTCACATTTAATAGATTAAAATTGGAATACCTTATAATTAGTATGCCACTTATGCATTAATATGACCATTTAAAACAATCTTACTTCTTACTAATGTTATAAATGCGTAAGTTTATATGGATGGATGTTTGTTAGAGTTTGTAGCCTAAACTGCTGAACGGATCTCGATGAAATTCGGCGAACCTGAAACCTTTCTCTTTCTTTTTGTAATTCCACGCGAAAAATGTCGCGGGCGAAAGCTAGTTGTATAATAAAACAAATCAACAGCTGTGTGCCAGCTAACGGATTCAGGGACGTGTAGGCAGATGATCATGAAATAAAAAAATGATATTTGCATACAGATATATTATTCTTAGACACTAATACAGCAGTTCTATTGGTTTGATTGTATGTATATTAAACATGTGGCAATAGGGGTCGTAGTTGTAGCGGACGATGGGGTAGCCTTTGTTGAGCTCAAAGTGCAAGTTCGACCTGCGATACTCAGTTTTCAATTTTTGTAATAATCTGGTTGCTATCGTTTTAGTGTCATTAGTCATGGGGCCACTGATATTAATGCAGTACAGATTGGGACACCTCTGAATCATAGTGCTCGGGTTCCTGAAGGGATGTGTGTATTCCTCTGATAAATCCAGTAAGTGAATATTCTCTAGAGTACTACATTGACTACACCATGAAAACACTACGCCCAAATCAATGTCTTTATCGACTAATCTCAAATTCTTTAAACTCCGACTTAGAGGTATGTTTCGGGCCACAAAGGATGCGTTTGGTGAAAAACGTGAAAGTTCTACATTCAATGTCTCCAACTGCTCACAACAACTGAACAAAACATTGAAGAATTCTTTAGAATATTTCACATTTCCAGTTAAACAAAGAGATCTTAACTTTCTTAAGTACTGGCTGCTGGGAGAGAGAGTGACGGGGCAGTTGAGGCTTGTTGGAAAGGACATAGTTAAGTGTACTCTCTTATGGTTTCTGAAGACATTATCGTAATCAAGAGTTTGAGACTGAGGTGCCTGTCTTTGCTTCTTAAAGTATGTTGCATCTTTGTAAAGAACAGGCTGTGTCTCACTCTGGGGAATACTGATGCAAAATGTATCACATTCCTGTGCGGCAACAGTAGTGTCATCCACAATGTTGGGTGGGAAGAAATTAAGCATTTTAGTTTTTAGTTTTTGACGGAATACATCATCAAATTCAGTTTGTGTCCTGTCCCAGAGCATAATCACACCATTCTTGGAATATTTGAAAGTACTTATTGGATTGATGCAATTTGGATCATATGATTCAAAAAACTTTAGCATCATTGGTGACACATAAACTTTCCTTTCGTCTAGTATTTCAGTAATTAAAACAAATTCATATTTATCCTCCATATGCTTTATGTTAGTCAGATTAAATGATGTTGCACTGAGAGTGGGAACTTTCCATTGATTTAAAACGCTAATGTTTATAAATTTGGAATGCACTTTAACATTGGTGCCGTCCACTTCTTTCACCGAGTTGTACATGGTGCCGCCGTTGTCGACAACGGTAAGCACAAACTGACTCAGGTGAGCTTTGTGCACCATCAACATGGGTAAATTTGAATATAATAGATTTGCTGCATTACCAATAAAATGGACTTTGTCAAAGTTTTGGAAAACATGTTGATGTTGAATAATGTGGGCTTTTACATCATTTTCTTCTCCAAACACAAAATTACAAGCAACATTCTTTATGGTGGGACACAATTTATATGCTTCAAAGAAATCAAATAGAGTAATATCTGTGTAAGATACATCAAGAGTGTTCAAGCATTTCATGCGCCTGACAGCGGCCAGCAGCGCCGACCTGCTGAGTCCGCCGATGCCGCGTAGGTCCAGAATCTGCAAATCTCTCGATATGGCCTTCATAAAATTATCTTTTAAAAAATGCACCGACTCCATTGCACTAGGAGATAAATCAGCAATTTTCACAACATTGTACATACAAATAATATTACTAAAATAAGGGCATGTTTGATATAAGCTATAAACTGACTTGAAATCTAATTTTTTAATAATAATCACGACAACTTCTACGGGAAGATCGGTTACTTCCATTTCTAAGGTGATAAGTTAATTTAAACACCTAAGTAATGGCACTTTAATCACTAGTTAAAGATGTAATGAGAATGAATACGCCTCTAACGCAAACTAAAATACTGTAAGTAAAAATATTATTCGAAGTTATTTGTACTTGATATTTGTATACTTCTATGTGTATATTGTTAATATGTACTTCAGGCACAATACAATTATAAACATCTCTTCTATTATTCTTATAATAATACAAATAACCAAATCACAAAATGGAATTTATCGGTATCGATTGTTTTGTTCGTGAACCAAATGTCATTTGACAATAAGGATGACATTGACAATGACAACACACCAGTTTATGAATCAAATAAATTATTATGACTCAAAATATAGCTATCAAAAACAAATAAAAAAAAATTAAATATGTTCAAATCGTACATTTACGAATTATGTGTAAAATAGAAATAGATCTAAGATATTCTTTAGCTCTTCGTTATATTCTACTATATTTATAATTTTCATATTTGTTAATATCCTCACATTTTTTGTAATAGAAGCGAGAAAACGAGCTTCATGAGCACTGGGAAGATCATCCACGAGCGACCGCTTCTGCAATACCAGTGGAACTGCAGATGCGCCTATGACGGTGATACGCTCGCTTCTTGAGGGATCCTAAGTCGTAGCAGTTTGGGAATACCGCCGAGGATAGATCATTCTACAAAGCGGCTGTGCGAGACAGAAAGTTTCGCGAAAACCGCACAATTGAGTGTTGCTCACTTGGTATTATGCCTGGCGGCCTGTCGTGTCATCCTTATCGATGACGGAACTTAACGGCAGGAATCGTTACAGATTCGTCGGATTACGTCCCGTACTAGTTGTGGAAAAAAGGAGTGGGAACTTATATCCTTCCGCAAGACCAGGGATCAGTAACGGCCTATCAGTAAGAGCTCGGTCGTTCATAATTCGAATCGGTGATGCGATTAGCAATCTATGTGGGGCCGACTTTTGCCTTAGATAACTGAAGGCCGTGGGCTAGGTGGTAATATTGTTACGTTCATATGCTCAGCAACCCCATCATTATGAAGATTCAAAAAGTATGTCATTAAATATGTTAACGCCGAAGATACTGACACTGGTGGAGGCAACTAAGTGCTCTCGATATGAAGATCCACTGTTGTAAACTTGTGTCTTTTTGGGATTGATGAAATCAACAAGATTTTGCGGACTCCTAATCTGAGATTTAACCCAATGGGGTCTGCAGCACTTAAGTAAAATTTTTGAGACATTATATCTTCAGTTTTTACAACAATCTTTATCAATCATACTTTCTTGATATCTGCTCATAGCAGGCACGTGCCAGTACCTGGTTTGCTAGAGTGCCAGCTACTGGAATGGGTATTTCCGTATTTTAAAATAGATTTAATACTTACATAGCTCAAAAAATATTATAAGATAGATCGAAATTTCAGGGAATCTTATAATCCTTATAATTATTATTTTACAGAATGCTTTATAAAAAATAAACTAAAACCGTTACACTTGCAATTTATGCTTTGCGCAAATCTGTCCGAGACTGAGAGATGTACAACCCTAAAATCGTAACGGTCGTCGAGATTTAAAAGTGCTGCGGCTTTGTTTCGGTCGCAAAATGTGGGAATTTTTCGTGTTCATTTAAAAATTACTAGAATGTCGGAAAAATTAAAGGATTATCAAGTTCTCGATGTTCTCCGCGGCGGTGCGTTCTACAAAGTTAAGCACAAGGTCACCAATAATATATTCGCGTGGAAAGCTTATGATTGTACTGCGTACTCCGACGAACAAATACAAAATATCGTAAACGAAGTGAAAACGATAAGTAAAGTGTTATCTGACAACTTGCTGCGCTACTACGACACAATACTTCATAACGCATCGAAAACTCTGTACTTCGTGCTCGAGTACAACTGCTGGCGCAGCGTGCAGGAGCTCATCGACGCCTGCGCCGCCGCCGATCACTATATTGCAGAAAATTTCATTTGGCATTTGTTGTTGGACCTCGCGAGGACTTGTAAGCTGGTAGAAGCCTTTAATTTCTCCATTATAAAAAAATGCTTAACACCGAGCTCTATTTACATCGACAATGACGGTGAAGTGCGCGTCGACTGTTTCCAGCTGGAGCAGACAGCTAGCGGGCCCGCGAACCTCATGCGCCAGCTCGGAGTCGTGGTTCATACACTCTGCTACCCTCGACAAACTTGTCACGGGAAAATACCAGTATTTCAATACAGTGACGACCTTCAAGATATTGTTTCCTTTGTTTCCGACGATAGGAACGCGGACTTACGCCCCGAAGTTATTATCTACCATCCGACAATTTTATCTAATGTCGAAGGCACTTCAAAGCCAAAACATTTTTCTGAAATACTTGTGTCTAATGAAGACATCTTCCATAAGTCTGATCTAAACAAGTGTGATTCAGAAAAGGCTGTAGAATTGTGTAGGAATATTAAAACTCCACCAAAGACTCAATCTATGAGACAGGAGAGCCCCATCTACTCAAATGTTAGCCCAAAGTTGAAAGCAAATGATGATATTGAAAACATCAAGTTAAGATTTTCTTTGTCCCCTAACTTGGCAGCCTTAGCCTTGGAACTTCCTGGCTATGTGCCTCGCTGCAGGAAACCATACAGTGAACTCGGAGACACCTTTACTTTGGCTCAGAAAGTATCAGAAGAAACTTTAAGTCACCAGTGGATGTCCCGACTTAAAGCTCTCAAAGACAAGGAAGAGTCACTAAACAAAAGGGAGATAGACCTCATAGTGAAGGAAGTAATGACCAGCCCTGTTGCTAAGTTTGTGCACCACCAGGGCTCAGATGTTGGTGAAAGTGGCAGCAACGGCATCACGCTGCCGGCCGTCATAGCCAGCGCCGAGAAGAGTCGCAGGAAGTCGCGTCGGCGTCGCCGCCGCTCGGGTTCCGTTCGCGCCCGTCCCCGTCGCCAGAGCTACAGCTACGAGGACTTGGACAGCTCCCTTTCCGCAGACACAGGAGATGGAAGCATTATTGTAACAGCTAAAAAGTTCACTTTGGACAATATGCCTCGTCGGAACATATTCCCCGATTTGGCTTCAAAAAATGTACACTTCACACCTTCAAACCCATTTGTTGGAAGCGATGAAAGTGTCACTCTAACATTCTATGATTTGGATAATTTGGAAGCAGAAGACAACCAAAGCACACAAAATGCATCGGTTAAAGACGTAACAAAGTTCAAATATTTGGATGTAGCGGGTGTGAGAGAGAAGAGAGCAGCAAAACAATGGAGTCACTCTTCCCCGTCCAAGCAGGCTAAAGTGTTAAGTGACATTTCAAGTCAGAGTTTGAGAAAAACACCATCTAAGTTTAGCCTCACGTCTCATAGCTCCATGAGGTCAGGGAGCTCCACTGCCAGCGTCAAACAATACCCACAAACACCTGCAGCACACACCGACTTCAAGAAAAGTAAGATTAGGAAATCATTGCTTAACTTTAAAACTCCTTTCAAATTCAAATCGTCCACCAAGGTTTAACATGAATTGGTATTTCTAAACATTTCAACTTGTGACAAAGATAATCAACAATTAAATTTTTTCTCTTATATCTAAGATTTTACTGAGATTTTAAAAGTAATTTTTATTATAGTTCTAATTATAACTAGTTATATATTGTTTAATAAATTCAATGGTTGTGGTTAAATTCTTCCTTAATTATTAGATTACTTTAAGTTTTAGTTATTGGTACAAGTACAACAGTACTGTTTTTGTATTATATAAAAAACGGACATCAACCCACCCTTTACCTAGATTAGAAATTTTGTTATAGATGTAAAAAAAAATAGTTTATTTAGTAAGTTTTTTTTAGATTTGTGCATGCACACAGGCATTCCTTGTCACTAGTGATATTTGACATTAAATAACTTTTTTAACTTACATTTTGTCTTCCATAAAATTCTTTCCTAGTTTTTACAATTTATTTTTCTAAAGCTCTACTCTTTTATTTGTAAATACTAAGATTTCATAACTCATAGGTTTTAAAACAAAATTTTATATGAAAAACATGTATTGATTACAAATATGGCCATATTTACTATTGTATAATTATAGAATATTTACATTAATGTAGTTTCAGAGGGTTTTATTAGATTTTAAGGTTAAGAGATAAATATGTTTAATGTACAACAAAGTGTTTTATTTCATACTTCAATGTGACATAACTGTACAGGTGACACAAAAATGATAATTACTTTTTCTTATTGAGTGCTTTGTCTGCACCTTCCAGGTACTTCTTGGGCAGGCCGTACTTCTCTATCAGCAGCTTGGCTATGAAGTGCGTCTGCAAATTATAATTATTTCATTTATACATCTATCTCACTATACCCAATCTATACTAATATTATAAAGAGGAAAACTTTGTATTTTTGTATGTATTGAAATAACTCAAAAACCACTGGGCCGATTTTAAAAATTCTTACACCTTCAGAAAGGTAATTTACAGCCATATTACGTAATAACAGATACCTATATTATGGATATGTACAACTAGTTTAAAATATAGTTTTATTTGCACATATAAATGAAGTACTACAATTAAGCAGACTATTGCGAATGTCTATGGGCATCGGTCTTTTGCCAACATGAAATAAAAAAAGAGGAATTACAAACATATTTTGCAACGCTACAAGTTTTGCTTCAACTTTAGGTAAGGCAAAATGATGTCAAGTTGTCCTGTAAATGAGTGTGAATGCAATGACCTGGTCGCCCTGCACCATGAGCTGGTCGTGCTTGGCGGCGGCGCTGCGCGTGACGCCGCCCGCCGCCGCCGCGCCGCGCTGCGCCTCGCGGGCCAGCGCGCCCGGCGACAGCCCGTACGCCTCCAGGTTGGACACCAGCGTCACCTGCACACCACACCACACCACACCTCCACTGTACCACCATGTTTCATATATTACCGGGACTCAAATCCGTCTTATACGGCATATTGGGATACAAGTCAAACATTTCTATTTTGTTGAAGTAATATTAATAGTAACTGTAGTGTAGTTTGGTGTAGTATGGGATGGTTAGTATGGTGTAGTGGTGTGTGACATGATGTAGCGTGGCATGGTGGATTATCGTGTAACGTGGTGTGGTGTAGTTTGGCGTAGTATAGTGTAGTGTGGTGTGGTATAGTATGGCTTGGTGTGGTGTATGTAGCGTGGCATGGTTCAGTGTGGCGTGCGCGGTGTGGTGAGCGGACCTTTTTGTTGCCGCTGCGAGTGACGACTTCCATCTTGATGGGTTCGAGGCGAGACTTGAGGAGCTTGACGGTGCCGTCGGGGAAGCGCAGCTCCGTGCCGGGCGTCATCTTGTCCAGCAGCGCGCGCATCGCCTCCTCCCAGCTCATGCTCTCCTGGTGCAAACGACGAACCGATGGTATTAAAAGGTAAAAATGACATCGAGAGGAACGAGCGAGTGTTATGCCTTTACAGACAACTGTCAAGTATCGGCACTAGTGTAGGCATGCCTTTGTACGAGGGACGTTACAAAAAAGTGATTCGTTTAACTTTGGCTATAGGTTGGTGGTATTTATCGACTAGGTCGCACCTGTGGGCCGAGG